CACAATAGTTTTGCAAATTATAGGGAATATGGATCCAGTTCAGTTCAGTTCTTAGTGACTAAGGTTTGATGGGCAAGAACTACTGTGATTTCTCTCCTTTCTTCATTGCAGTATTCATAGCAAAGTGTGAGAAAAGCATTTGAAAGTTATAAGATGAAATTATTCTATCTACACCCCTACCCCAGTACATGTTTAGAGACAGCTAGAACATTATGAAACACCTCTTTTAAATACTTTGCACTTCTTCAATAAAGAGGTTGTGAAAATAGTGTGGCTTATATTCAAAACTAAAAAAAACTTTTTTTTTTCCCAGCAGGCTTGGGGATCCTTGGCAATAGGGAGCCTGCAAGTTGGTTGTACTGTATGTGAGACTCTGAGATATTCTCCTGCAATCTTGTTTATATTTATGTTCAATTGTTTTTAATGATTATTTAAGACTGTTTTAATTGTTTTATTGTATGCCACCCAGAGTCACTTTTGTGAGATGGGTGGTTATATAAATTTGATAAATAAATAAATATTTAAAGAATGATTGTAAGAGACCCACTTCAATTATCCTTATTAACATTATATTCTGTGGCATGCGCCTTATATTTTTGTTTTGGAGAGCCGTATTTGCAATTATGAGGATGACTCAAAGTGCTTGCAGCTGTATGCCTTTAATAATAGAAGACATTGTTTCTGCAAACTTCCTTTCCAAGCATTCTGAAATATGATAAATGCTTATTTCCACCTGAGGCAGTATGGGATGTAATCTGAAATCTGTGTAGTCTATCTTACATATTCATGCTAGGAATGCTGACACTGATAGATTGCCTAATGTTGGGAACATGCTGGGAAATACCTGTGCTGCTGCTGTAGCACTGAAAGACAGTCCATTAGTAGCAGGATTAATGCACTCTGGGACTTTTAATTCTTCATGGAATCTATTTCCATATTTAATTACTGGAAAGTCATGGAAAAAAGTTCTAAAACACCTTCATCCATTTTTATTGTCAACAGAAGTGTCGATTAGTAATTCTTCAAGTTATATTGCAATGTTCACTTAAAATAATGCACCTCCTTGCTGAGTTTGCTTCAATTAAACCATATTTTATTTGCTAATGACATAGCAAGATGACAGCGACCTTGAAGTTGGTATTGTCAACATTTCTTGGCAAAAGAGGATGGTGATTTAGAGTTAAGAGTGCATCCATTTATTCTGCAGCCTTTGTTTTTAAAAGGTTTTTAAAAATTCCATTAGGGATTGGGATTTTGCATGAATAATGCACAGGTTAGTGAGTTAAGTAGCAGTCAGTTTTATATTATTTTTAATGCAAAGATTAAGCTGGATATAGGAAAGGAAATAACTGTATTCAGTTTATTGAGTCTGAGAAAGAATAGCCTGTAGTCAGAGGGCCTCTTAAAATTGCTTTCAGAAGTCCGTTGCTAAAATGCTCTTTCTAAATGTCAAAGAGATATTGACCTAAAGATTCTTTCATAGATATGTATACAAATTTAGTTATTGGATTTTAAGTTTGTAATGAAACAAATGCATATTGTGATATATGCAGAACAATGCATTTTAGAATCAACCCTTTAACGTCAACCCTTTTTTTCATCAAAAACTGAAGCAACATATTTTAGCAAACAATATGCACAACAAAGTAAATATTATATATTTATATATTATATA